AGTTTGACGGCGCCATGCCGAAAATCGACGACATGCCGTGGCCGGGCTTTCCGCCCGATCTGATCAGCATCGCCCTGGTGGTCGCCACGCAGGCGCGCGGCACCGTGCTGATTCACCAGAAGATGTTCGACCGCCGCTTGGTGTTCGTCGACCGCCTTATCGAAATGGGCGCCAACATCGTGCTGTGCGACCCGCATCGCGCCGTGGTGATTGGCCCGTCCCGTTTGCACGGCGAAACCCTCATTTCGCCGGACATCCGCGCCGGCATGGCGCTGCTCATCGCCGCGCTGGCGGCCGACGGCGTCAGCAGCATCCACAACATCAGCCAGATCGACCGCGGCTACGAGCAACTCGAAAAACGCCTGCAGGCCCTCGGGGCGCGGATCGAGCGGCGGCCAGCGTAAACGCGACCTTCAGGGAACAATCGGCAGAGGAGTCTTGCTCTATGGCAGGTTCACGAAGTTTCGGTTTCGGCGTCGTTGGCCTCGGTGTCATCGCCGACTTTCATGCCCGTGCCATTCAGGACATGCGCGGCGGGCATCTCGCCTGCCTATTTTCCAGCAGCGGCGGTAACGATGCCGAGGCGCTGGCCCGGCGCTGCGGCGTCGACCTGTACGTCGGCGACTACGATGCCTTCCTCAAGCACCCGGACCTTGACGTGGTGGTCATCGCCACGCCGTCCGGTGCGCACCTGGAGCCGGTGGCGGCCGCCGCCAAGGCCGGCAAGCACGTCATTTGCGAAAAACCGCTGGAGATAACGCTGGAGCGCTGTTCGCAGATGATTCGCGCCTGTAAACGGGCCGGCGTGCAATTGGGCGGTATTTTCCAGAGCCGCACCGGGGGCGGCGGTGCAGGCCATCAAGAAGGCGCTTGACGCCGAACGCTTCGGCAAGCTGACGGTTTGCAACGCCATCATCCCCTGGCACCGCGCCCAGGCGTACTACGACTCGGGGGCCTGGCGCGGCACCTGGGAACTGGACGGCGGCGGCGCTTTGATGAATCAGTCCATCCACACCATCGACCTGTTGCAATGGTTGGCGGGGCCGCTCCGCTCCGTGCACGCCCTGGCGGGCAACTTGGCGCACAAACGCATCGATGTCGAGGACACCGCGGTGGCGGTGGTGCGCTACAAGTCAGGCGCCTTGGGCACCATCATTGGCTCCACTGCGGTGTGGCCGGGCTGGCCGAATGAGATTCACATTGTGGGAACGGGCGGCTCAGCGTGCCTGCGCGGCGGGGAGTTGGTGCACTGGGATTTCGTGGACAAGAAATCGACCGATGGGCGCATTCGCCGCACGCTGGGGCCGCAGTCGCAAAAAACCTCGCGCTGGGGCGCCGGCAGCCCCACCTCCATCGGCACCGAGGGGCACCAATTGCAGTTTGAGAATTTCGTGCGCCACCTGCGGGGCAAGGCACCGCTGCTCGTCGATGGCGCCGAAGCGCGCAAGGCCGTGGAAATCATTCTGGGGATTTATGCCTCGGCGCTGTCGGGCGAGACCGTGAACCTGCCCCTCAAGCGAACCCCGGAGCGCCACGCTTTCGGGAAGTGAGAAGCCGGAGGTAATGAAAACACAGGTAGGAATCATCGGCTCCGGCCCCGCCGGTCTCCTGTTGTCCCAGCTTCTGCATCGGCGGGGAATCGACAGCGTCGTGCTGGAGCGGCAGAGCCGCGAGTACGTTCTCGGCCGGATACGGGCTGGAGTCATTGAGCAGGGCGCGGTCGCGCTGCTTCGCGAAGCGGGGGTGCACGAGCGTCTGGATCGGGAGGGGCAGATCCACGAGGGAATCGGGATTTCGTTCGGCGGGCGGCGCCACCGCATCGACTTCAAGGCCCTGACCGGGTCGTGCGTCACGGTCTACGGCCAGACCGAGATCACGCGCGACCTCTTCGAAGCGCGGGACGCCGCCGGCGGCGTCATCGTCCGCGAGGCCGAAGACGTGACGCCCCACGACATCAAGACCGATGCGCCCTGGCTCACGTATCGCAGGGGCGGCGACATCCACCGCGTCGACTGTGACTTCATCGCCGGCTGCGACGGCTTCCACGGCGTCAGCCGCAGGACGATCCCGCCCGCCGTCCTGCGCACGTACGAGAAGGTCTACCCGTTCGGCTGGCTGGGGGTGCTGTCGCGCACGCCGCCAGTCACCCACGAAGTGACCTACAACCACCACGAACGCGGCTTCGCCCTGTGCAGCATGCGCTCGAAATCCCTGAGCCGGTACTACGTGCAGTGCTCGCTCGACGACGACATCGCCGAATGGCCTGACGAGCGGTTCTGGGACGAGCTGCGGCGTCGGCTGCCCGAGGATCTCGCCCGCGCACTCGTCACCGGCCCGTCGATCGAGAAGAGCATCGCGCCGCTCAGAAGCTTCGTCGCCGAGCCGATGCGCCACGGGCGCCTGTTCCTCGCTGGTGACGCCGCGCACATCGTGCCGCCGACCGGAGCGAAGGGGCTGAACCTGGCCGTCTCGGACGTCTACTACCTCTCTCGCGCCTTTGCCGCCTGGTACGGGTCCGGGGACGAGGGCCCGCTGGACGCGTACTCCGACACCTGCTTGCGGCGGGTGTGGAAGGCGGAGCGATTCTCGTGGTGGATGACCACGCTTCTCCACCGGTTCCCCGAGAATGGTCTGTTCGGAGAGCGCATCCAACTCGCCGAGCTGGACTACCTCGTCAACTCGAAGGCGGCGATGACGGCGCTGGCCGAGAACTACGTCGGACTGCCGTACTGAACGGCCGGTACGTGCGCTGTGGCGAGCCGGAATCTGCCGGCAGCGCGTCGCGACTTGACCCCAACGGGGTGAATTTCCGCAGGCTTGTCTGCCACGTCGAGCTTGGGGTAGTGTTTCCGTCCTGACCATGTCCCAGAGGGAAGGGACTGAAGGGCGTTCCATTTTGTGCAAAGGGGTCGGCCGATGACTGAACTTCTCAAAACCCCGCTCCACAACATGCATCTGGCAGCTGGCGCGCGCATGGCGCCCTTCGCCGGCTATGAGATGCCGCTGCGCTATGCCGCGGGCGATATCGCCGAGCACCGGCAGGCGCGGCGCCTCGCTGCGCTCTTCGACGTGAGCCATATGGGCCAGGTTCGCCTCGCCGGACCGGGCGCGGATGCGGCGCTGGAGCGGCTGGTGCCGGGTGACATACAGGGTCTCGGCCCCGGACAGATGCGCTATACGCTGTTCACGAGTGACCGCGGCGGCATTCTCGACGACCTGATCGCGGCGCGCGCCAAAGACGGCCTGCGGCTGGTCGTCAACGCCGCGCGCAAGGAGCACGACATCGCCCATCTCAGCCGCCATCTGAGCGGGGCGGTGGATGTCGTGCCGGAACCAGACCGCGCGCTGCTGGCGCTTCAGGGGCCGGCGGCGGCAGACGTGCTCGCCGCCTGTGCGGACATGGCCTTTATGAGCTGGCGCGAGGCCGAGGTCTGCGGACTGCCCGTACGCGTCTCGCGTTCCGGCTATACCGGGGAGGATGGCTTCGAGCTTTCCGTGGCGGAAGATGACGCCGAGGCGTTGGCCACGCGGCTGCTCGCCCATGACGCGGTCGCTTGGGCGGGTCTTGGCGCCCGCGACTCGCTGCGGCTCGAGGCCGGCCTCTGCCTGTACGGCCACGACATCGACGAGACGACGACCCCGATCGAGGCCGGTCTCGGCTGGACCGTGGCGAAGCGCCGACGGCAGGAGCGCAACTTCCCGGGCGCGGCCCGCATCCTCGACCACCCGCCCGCGCGCCGCCGCGTCGGCCTGCGCCCCGAGGACCGGGTCATTGCGCGCGCGGATACGGCGGTGCTGGACGCGGATGGCGCCGCGGTCGGCCGCGTCACCAGCGGCGGCTTCGGTCCGACGCTCGGCGGCCCGATCGCGATGGGCTATCTGCCGGCCGCGCTCGCCAAACCCGACACACCCGTTGCCTTCGACATCCGCGGCAAGGTCCGGCCTGGCCGGGTCGCGTCCCTGCCCTTCATTCCCCACAACTACATCCGGATCTGAGAGCACCCATGACCCAGAAGACCTGGTACACCCGCGATCATGAATGGGTACGGCTGGAGGACGGCGTCGCGGTCTGTGGCATTACCGATTACGCCCAGACGCAATTGGGCGATGTCGTCTTTGTCGAACTGCCGGAAGTCGGCACGCATCTGGCGCGCCAAGCTGCCGCCGCGGTGGTCGAGAGCACCAAGGCGGCGAATGACGTCTACGCGCCGGTGAGCGGCGAGGTCGTTGCCGTGAACGACCGGCTGGAAGAGGAACCGAATCTCGTCAACGAATCCGCCGAGGACCAGGGCTGGTTTTTCCGCCTGCGGCTCGCCGATGAGGGCGAGCTCGACGAGCTCCTCGACGGGGACGCCTACCGGGCCTTCGTCGAGGAGATCGAATAATGCGCTACCTGCCGATCACCGAGGCCGACCGGCGGGTCATGCTGGAGGCGATCGGCGTGCCGTCGGTCGAGGCGCTGTTCGCCGACGTGCCGCAAGAGGCGCTACTGGCAGAGCCGGTGGACCTGCCGCCCCATGCGAGCGAATACGAGGTGGAGAAGCGCCTCTCCCGGCTTGCGGCGCAGAACCGCCCGGCCGGCGCCGGCCCCTTCTTCTGCGGCGCCGGCACCTATCGTCATCATATCCCCGCAGCCGTGGACCATCTGATCCAGCGCGGCGAGTTTCTCACCTCCTACACGCCCTATCAGCCCGAAATCGCCCAGGGCACGCTGCAATATCTGTTCGAGTTCCAGACCCAAGTCTGCCTGCTGACCGGCATGGAGGTCGCCAACGCCTCCATGTATGACGGCGCGACCGCCACCGCCGAGGCGGTCATGATGGCGAATCGGGTCACGCGCCGCTCGAAGGCGGTGGTCTCCGGCAATCTGCACCCGCATTACCGCGACACCGCGGCGACGCTCGCCCGCTTTCAGGGCTTCACACTCGACTGCGCCCCACCGCGGCCGCAAGGCGGCGAGGACCTGGCAGGGCGGATTGACGCCGAGACATCCTGCGTTGTGGTCCAGTATCCCGACCTGTTCGGCAATATCGCAGACTACTCGGATGTGGCGGCGGCCGCGCACGCCAAGGGCGCGCTGCTAGTCGTCGTGGTTACGGAGATCGTCGCGCTCGGCGCGCTCCGGCCGCCGGGGGCGATGGGGGCCGACATCGTGGCCGCGGAAGGCCAATCGCTCGGCAATCCGATGAGCTTCGGCGGTCCGCATCTCGGCTTGTTCGCCACGCGCACGCGCCACGTGCGCCAGATGCCAGGGCGGCTCTGCGGCGAGACCGTCGATGCCGAGGGGCGACGCGGCTATGTGCTCACCCTGGTGGCGCGCGAGCAGCATATCCGACGCGAGCGCGCAACGAGCAATATCTGCACCAATTCCGGCCTCTGCGCGCTCGCCTTCACCATCCATCTGACCCTGCTCGGTGAGACCGGGCTGAAGCGTCTGGCGTCGCTCAATCATGCGCGGGCGGCGGCGCTCGCCGACCGGCTCGACCGGCGCGTCGTGACGTCCTCATTCTTCAACGAGTTCACGGTCCGCCTCGACGGCGATGCGGCGGCTGCGGTCGAGCGCCTCGCGGGCGAAGGCATTCTCGCCGGCGTGCCGGTCTCCCGGCTGCATCCCGGCGCCGGCCTCGACGACCTGCTGCTGGTCGCGGTGACCGAGACGACGGACGAGGACGACCTCGCGGCCCTGGCGGAGGCGCTCGGATGACCGACGTATTCCACGACACCATCTCCGGCGACCGCGGCCTCCATATCGAAGAGCCGCTGATTTTCGAGCAGGACAGCCCGGGCGCGCTCGGCGTTGACTGGCCGCAGGTCGAGGCGAGGCCGGACCGGCTGGGCGGCCTCGCCCGCGAGGGCGCCATCGGCCTGCCGAGCTTGGCGGAGCCGACCGTCGTGCGCCATTACACCCGGCTGTCGCAGAAGAACTACGGTATCGACACCGGACTCTTCCCGCTCGGCTCTTGCACCATGAAGCACAATCCGCGTCTGAATGAGCGGCTGGCGCGGCTGCCCGGTTTCGCGGATATCCATCCGCTGCAGCCGGAATCCAGCGTGCAGGGAGCGCTCCGGCTTTGCCGCGAGTTGCAACGCTGGCTGATGGCGTTGACCGGCATGCCCTGTGTCGCGCTCACCCCCGGCGCGGGCGCGCACGGCGAACTTTGCGGCATGATGGCCATCCGCACCGCTCTGGATGCGCGGGGGGAGGAGAGCGCGGCGCGGCGCCGCGTGCTGGTGCCCGATTCAGCCCACGGCACCAACCCCGCTACCGCCGCCGCGCTGGGCTTCCAGGTCGTTTCGATCCCGGAAGACGCACGCGGCCGGGTTGATCTTGCCCGCTTCGAGGCGCTGCTGGAGGGCGGCATCGCCGCGGTCATGCTCACCAATCCCAACACCTGCGGCGTGTTCGAGAACGACATCCGCCGCATCGCCGACGCCGTGCATGAGGCCGGCGGCTATTTCTATTGTGACGGCGCGAACTTCAACGCGATTGTCGGGCGGGTGCGGCCGGGCGATCTCGGCATCGACGCCATGCACATCAATCTGCACAAGACCTTCTCGACGCCGCATGGCGGCGGCGGGCCGGGCGCGGGGCCGGTCGTGTTCTCGGAGGCGCTCGCGGCCTATGCGCCGGTGCCGCGCATTGTCGAGGAGGACGGCCTGTTGCGCCTGGAGGAGATAAATGGCGCTGCCCTCGGGCGGATGAAGGCCTTTCACGGCCAGATGGGCATGTTTGTGCGCGCGCTCGCCTACCTGATGAGCCACGGCTCCGACGGGTTGCGCCAGGTCTCCGGCGATGCCGTTCTAAACGCCAACTATCTGCTGCGGCGGCTGGAAGGCGCGTTTTCCGCGCCCTTCGCCCATGCCGGCCCGGCCATGCACGAGGCGCTGTTCGACGACCGTTTGCTCCGCGACAGCGGCGTTACCACACTCGACATTGCCAAGGCGATGATCGATGAGGGACTGCATCCGATGACCGTCTATTTCCCGCTGGTGGTGCATGGCGCGATGCTGGTCGAGCCGACTGAGACGGAAACCCGGGCAAGCCTCGATCGCTTCACCGCCATCATGCGGGGCTTGGCCAAGCGGGCGAAGGCGGGCGCTGCGCTTAGCGAGGCGCCGCATCACGCCCCCCGTCGCCGCCTCGACGAGACCCGCGCCGCGCGCCGGCCGGTGCTGCGTTGGCAGCCGCCCGGCGACGCCAAGCGTGATGTGCCAGGGGTGTGAGGGCGGGGATTTCTGAGATTGGTTTTCGTGGGAAAAGATCGCGTAGAGGATACGATCCATGGAGATTCGGTCCCGGCCGGACCTCTTGGAAGCCGCGTGTGACGTACTTCAGGCTTGGGTCGTGCGGAGGGGAGAGGGAGTTTCGACGGCCGGTGCAGACATCGCGGCCTGGGATTTTTCGTTTTGTGCCATCAGGTCCATGGCCAACAGTGCCGACACCAGTCCGGCGGCGAAGCTGATCATCCAGGAGACGGCGTAGCCGTTCGAGATGTCATAGAGATAACCGCCGAGGAAGCCGCCGGTGGCCATTCCCACCATCGCAAAGCACATCTGGCCCGAATAGCCCGGTCCGAAGCCGCGCTGTCCGTATATTTCGCGTGCCACCACGCCGTATTGCGTGTTCACGCCGCCGTAGCCAAAGCCCCAGAACACCGCGTACAGGAAGAAAATCGCCGGGTCCTCGGCGTTGACCAGCCATAGGACCAGGGTGCCTTGTATGAACAGGGTGAAAATGAGCGTCAGGCGCGCGCCATGGCGGTCGGCAAAGAGGCCCCAGGCCACCCGCCCGGCCACCGCCGACAGCGACATGAGGCCCAGCACCCAAGCTGAGGCAAAGGTGGAAAGGCCGGCGTGCTGGGCGAACACCACGATGTGCACCAGCGGCACGGAGTGGCACATGCAGCAGAAAAAGTTGATGACGGCGAGGGTCCAGAAGCCCTCCATGCGCAGGATGACGCGCCACACCGAGCCCACCGACACCGAGCGGGTGGACCGCTTGCTGCCGGCCGATGCCGTTGACGGCGTGTCATTCGGGTCGGCGCCGAAGGGCACCAGCCCCATCTCGTGCGGATGGTTGCGGATAAACAGGCAGGCCAGCACCGATGCGGACGATACCGTCAGGCTCAGCATGACGAACGCCGTTTGCCAGTCCCAGCGCAGAATCACCCAGGTGACCAGGGGCGAAAAGATGAACGGCCCCAAGCCGTTGCCGGCCATCGTCAGGCCCATCGCGAAGCCCTGACGCTTTTCGAACCAGCGGGTGATCAAGGCAGCGGTCGAGATCAAGAACGCGCCGCGGCCCAGCGAGGTCACCAAGCCGTACCAGAGGTAAAAGCCTTCCACCGTGGTCACGGTGCTGGTGGCGTACAGGCCGATGCCGTGAATCAGCGTACCGATCAGCAGCAGCTTGCGCACGCTGTGGGTGTGCATCAGCGTTCCGACCGCCAGGATGCCGAGGCCGCTGACGATGGCCGAGATGGCGTAGGTGAACGACAGGGCACTGTGCGACCAGCCCATGTCGTCGACCATCGGGTTGATGAACACGCCGAAGGCCATCATGGCGCCGGAGGCGAGGAAGGTGATGAGAAAGCAGGCGGCCAGGACGATCCAGCCAAAGAAGAACCGCTCGGTGGGGGCAATCTGGGATGTCATTCGCCTTATCCTACGTGTTCGCAGCGGCTCGCGGCGTTGGCGGTGTGGAACTGTCATTCGTCCGTGGCGCGAAAGGCGAGCATACAGGGCCGTAGCGCGCCCGTCAAACCGCGGGGGCCGGTGCCATTTGACCGCCCCGGCGGACACCCCTTACAATCCTCTGATCCAATCCGAATGCCGACAGGCTGCCTTGCACGAGGCCAAGCGCCCCTCCTGGAGTTTCTCGATGAAACTGATTTCGTGGAACGTGAACGGCATCCGCGCGGTGCTGCGAAAAAACCTTTTCCTGCCGTTCGTAGCGGACCACGATCCGGACGTCATCTGCCTGCAGGAGACCAAGGCCCACCCACAGCAGGTGGCACTCGATCTGCCGTCCCACCCCTACCAGTACTGGCACAGCGCCGAAAAGAAGGGCTACGCCGGCACGGCGATTTTTTCCAAGCGCGAGCCGGTGTCCATAAGCTATGGCATCGGCGTGGCATCCTTCGACAGCGAGGGGCGGCTGGTTGCCACGGAGTTCGAAGATTTCTACGCCGTCTCGGTGTACGTGCCCAACTCCAAGCGCGACCTGAGCCGACTGGATGAGCGTCAGGAGTGGGACCGCGCCTTCCTCGCTCGTTTGAAGGGTCTGGAGAAGCACAAGCCGGTGGTGTTCAGCGGCGATTTCAATGTCGCGCACACCGATATCGACCTCGCCCGACCCAAGGAAAACGAGGGCCATCACGGCTATACGAGGGAGGAGCGCAGCGGCTTCGACGACTTCGTCAGCGCGGGCTTCATCGACACGTTTCGCCACCTGCACCCCGACGAGCGTCACCAATACACTTGGTGGCGGCAAATGGGCGGCGCGCGCGAACGCAACGTCGGCTGGCGCATTGATTACGTCATGATATCCGCCGCCCTGCTGCCCCGCCTGGAATCCGCCTCGATCCTGTCGGACGTGTACGGATCGGACCACTGCCCGGTTGGGATCACATTGAGCCAATAAATATCCGAATCGCCCCTTGAGGAGAAAATGACATGCGAATCGTTGTCCACGGTCAACAAGCCTTCGGCAAAAGCGTTCTGGAAGCGCTGCTGGACCGCGGCGAAGACGTCGTTGGCGTGTTCTGCGCCCCGGCTGCCCCCGGTGGGCGCGTCGATCCGTTGCAGGAAGCCGCCGAGGCCCACAGCTTGCCGGTATACCAGCCCAAGTCGTACCGCAAGCCGGAGGTGCGCGACACCTTCGCAGCGCTGGAAAGCGACCTGTGCGTGATGGCCTACGTGACGCTGTTCGTGCCCGAAGAGGTGTTGAACCTGCCGCGCCTCGGCACCATTCAGTACCACCCGTCGCTGCTGCCGCGCC